CCTCTCAAGAGATGCATGGATAAACAGTGTGTGATCTAACGGAGTATTACTCAGCGTGGAAGGGAAATGAAACCTTGATCCACCTTATGACGTGGCGGGAACTTGAAGACATTCTGCCGAGTGAAATAAGCCAGACACAAGAGGAGACGTATTGCTGTATTGCTTTTGATAAGTGCAGTCAATTCGCTTGGATTCCTAGCAGCCCTGTGCACCGCAGAGCGAAATCCCGCCTTAGCCATCCTTCCCATGGCTCTTACGTTTGAGCTCCTCTGTGTCAATCCTTCTTGCCAAGAGTCTTCCTCTTTTTGGCTGCCCTGCTGCTTTACCAAGCACGAGGCCCTTCTCCAGGACCTACTTCTCCTGATGATGTGCCCAAAGTACATGACACGAAGTCTCGCCACCCTTGCCTCTAAGAAGCGTTCTGGCCGCACTTCTTCCAAGACAGCGTTGCTTGTTCTTTTGTCAGTCCATGGACTTTAAAAATGCTTCTCCAGCACCATCATTTAAGCACATAGCATCTTCTTCAGCTTTGATTATCCAATGTCCAACTTTCACATGCATAGGAGGTCAGGGCCACCTTAGTCCTCAAAATAACTCCCTTGCTTTCCAATGCTCTAAAGAGGTCTTGAGCAGCAGATTGACCCAACGCAGTGTGTCTTTTGATCTCGTGCCCGCTGCTTCCAGGAGCATTGATTGTGGACCCATGCAAGACGAAGTCCCGGACAACTTCAATCTGTTCTCCAAGACAGTGGATGCTCCCATGAAACGCCTAGAACATGAAATGTTTTCATGAAAGAACCCTGATGAAAATAGCTAGAACATGAGAAGCCAACCTCACTGCCATCCGGTCAAGTTCCGTGCCTGACTCGTGGTGACCCTGCCGACAACAGGAACAATGGCTGCCCAGCCCTGCGGCATTTCCACAGTTGTTCCGATGATGCAGCCACTGTGCCAAGCCATCTCACGGATGGCCCTCCTAGTTTTTGATGACCCCCACTTTGTCAAGAAAGAGCCCTTCTCCAAGGTCTAGTCCCTTCTGCCAACAAGTCCCGAGTATGTGGGACTGAAGTCTCACCTCCTTGCTTCTAGGGAGCCTTCGGCCGTGCTGTCTTCCAGGGAGATGGGCTAGTTCTCTGCAGCCCATCGCGCGCGCTCACTATCCGTCCCCACCACCATCGGTCAAACGTCAAATGCACCGGTTCTCCTGAGGTCTTCCTCGGTCACGTCCAGCTTCCACACTTAGATGAAGCAATTGAAAAGGCATGCCTTGGGTCAGGTGTACCGAAAGCAAACCAAACCACTGTTTGAGTTGGTTTAGACTCATCACTGTTTGAGTTGGGTTAGACTCTTAGGGACTTTGCACAGGGTTTCCAGGGCTTTGTGAACTTTTGTAGGTAGCTAGCCTCCTCTTTCTCCCTCAGATCGGCTGCTGGGTTTGAACTGCCAACCTTGGGGTAGGGATAGGATGCATTGGACCAAAACCTGCCCCTGGTTTTCTTTCTCAGAATCACTGCTATTGCATCCACTCTGACTCACAGCAGCCCTATGGGCAGACTAGAACTGCCCTGTGGGGTTTCTGAAACTGGTAAGTCTTTACAGGAGTAGAAAGCCTCATCTTTCTCTCACAGAGAAGCTGGTGGTTTCCAACTGCTGACCTGGCAGCTAGCCATTTAACCTGTAACCATTACATCAAACCCACTGCCATCAAGTCAATTCCAACACCCCATACACACACACACACACACACACACACACACACGCACACACACACACACCCTCACACGAGGGCCCTATTGACCTGAAGTCCTAGTATTTGAGTCTGAGGCTAGTAGTTATCCTCTAAACCCCACTGCCACCACCCTAAAACCCAAACCCATTGCCCACGAACTGCTTGTGACCCATGGTGATCCTGCAGGACAGACCAGAACTGCTCCTGAGCGTTTCCGAGGCCCATGGAATAGTGGGTGGATATGAACTGCTGACCTTTCGATTAGCTGCCAGTTGCTTTAGCCCCTGTGCCACCAGGGGTCCTGGTGACTCCCAGAGGCAAGACTCATCTTCACCTGCTTTTCTGTGTGGACGCAGGGGCACAGGTCCTACACACAACAAGCGGGTTGACGTAGCAGCTGCAACACCGCACTGGGTGTAGTCATCTTGGTGAGGCCGGACCGGGAGCAGGCGAGGTTCCCTTCTGTTGTTCACGAGTCGGAACCGGCCCCATTGCCCCGGCCGACACAGCAAGAACACCCCCACGACC